TTCTCTCTTGATGGTCCTAGGGTCCTCTGTTTCTGGACTGTAAGACTAACCACAGAGTATAAGGGTTTTAAGGCTGTTAACCTTGACTGAAGCAGACCGCCACATCTTTCTCCTGCGGAGTGGCAGGTGGATTCAAACTGCCAACCTTCTGGATAGCAGCCAAGCATTTTAACCACTGCGTCACCAGGGTTGCTCTGACAATAATATGTTGTTGTTGTTGTTATTAAGTGCCATAGAGTTGGTTCTAATTTTTAGTGACCCTTCACAGGGCTTCCAAGAAGAGGCTGGAGGTTTTGAACTGCCAGCCTTACGGTTAGCAGTCCAGGACTTAGCCTATAGCGCCACACTAGTACTTTTTGAGAAAGTGGAGCACTGCCTTCATTGTTGTTGTTGTTGAGTGCCTTCGAGTCAGTTCCTAATACTAACGACCCTGTATAGGGTTTCCAAGGAACAGTTCGTGAATTTAAACCACCGACTGTACAATTCAAATCAACCTTGCAGTCCTGTGCTTATAATATAGTGTCACACTAGGACTCCTTGAGATTGTATTTAAGCCCTGCAAATGCTGCACTCACAGAGATGCATACACATCTAAAATACAGGCTGCCTCAAAGGCAGAGATTTTCTCTCTGCCGTATCACTGGTACATCCTATCAAGGCTGGAAACATTGTAGGTGCATGATTGTCTATTGAGTAAGTGAATATGGTTAGATAGAAGACAATACTTAAATTCCAAGTGACAACCAGATATAGTTTATAAGTGTTTCAGTCTTCATTAACAGTATTTGTTACAGATGTTTTGTAACGCTATAATGCAATCCTGATTTGTTCTATTATCCTCCATTCATATGTTCTATAAACCAACATTGCAATGTAGTGGCAATAAATGGGCAAAGGTGGGTATCTAAAGTGCTGACAGTGTTAAAACAGTAATGACAACTAGGTTGGGGAGTGGAAAAGCAAGCTGAAATCAAAAGACCTGACAAGAGTAAGCATAAAACTGATGGGAACAAACAGAATTGAAGCAGACATTTATAAGAACCTGGTATTTTAGGGAGGGGAGAGATGTTTTAATTTAGAGTTCATGCTATCAATATAAACCATGAAAATAATATAAACATAATGCATAAATTCCAAATCAGTTTAGAAACAGAAAGGAAAACAAAGAAAACCAGATGAACTTTAGGAGTGGGCTATAGGAGTGAGTTGTGATCAGATGATAAGGGAAGAACAAAAAGGAGGGTAAAGTTCCTTTTCCTTGAGGCTATATCACCTTTCTCTGTAGTGAGATAAAGAAATCACTAAGTAACTGAATGATTTATAAAGGGTCATAGCCTTCAATCACTAAATAAAACAGAGGCAAATTGGCAGGACAAAGAAGCAGACAGTATGCTTGTACAATAGACCATGTATAACGTGAAGACTTTGACCACTGGGATGGTTAAATCGGTGACTTTCATGGGCAGTAAATTTCCATTTGAAGAAGAAAATCATTGGCTTCCCTAACCTTGACATTCAGATTATGATCTATAAACATATTTGGAAGAAACAGAAACTTAACTGAAGGATTAACATATCTTTCAGATGTTTTAAGAAATGATTGCTCAATAGCACTAAAATAGTAACAGTGCATTACTTAAAACTCATGAGGGAAAATTCTTTTGCTGCAATATTCTAGCTCAACATTTAAGAGACTACTGTGCATCATCATCATAAGAAATAGGAGATTAACTTTTTGGGAGGAGGGGTGCGTGTGTACTTTCTCTTGCATTTTTAGGAAAAATGTTTATATTCTAATTAATTAAATAGCATATGCCTTGAGTATCACTAAATGGCTTTCTAAGTAAGAATTCAAGTAACAAATCTTAAATATTCTTGCTTATCTAATTATGTTCCCATTTATTAATAGCTTCATGAAGGTCAGCATCAAGATTCTTATATGACATTCATATCCTTTAACAGGGCAGAAAACTCCTGTGCAGGTTAAGTGACTACGTAAAATTGTGCTGGACAAGAATGAACTGGAATTAGAAGAGCACTTGGAAGGAAACATCAAAAACAATATGAATCAGTTAAGTACTATTAATTAGTATTATTCAGTTTTATTGCCTGACCAACATCAATGAAACATAATACAGCACTATAAAACAGCAATGTGAAATAATCAACTCTGGGTCACCAAATGACATACTAATTGTGTTGGCTTACCACTATAGAATTCGTATTTCACACACCTCAAATTTATACAAAGTCTAACAGCAGTAATAAGTAATACGCAAAATGGATATTAGATTTATATACCAGAAAGTCTGAAATAGTGGATCACAAAAGCAGTCAGAAACCTTCTGGTGTAACCACGTAAAAAATTGTTTGAGCAGAGATACTGTTGTTGTTAGGTGTCACCACGTCAGTAGCAACTCATAGGGACCTTAGGCACAACAGAACAAAACACTGCCTGGTCCTGGGCCAACCTGTTTTCTCTGTTCACTCTGAGAGTGGAGATACTACTGAGAGGCAAAAGAAAAAACAATAATAATTAAGCCAGATTTTTTTTTTGTTGTTGTTTTTTAAAAAAAATTTTAAATGACTACAACCTCTTTCTCTGATTACAACTAAAACAGGGTCTTTTAGTTGTTTACTGGGTGAACAGAAGTAGACAGAAGTAAAAAATAAGATAGAAATAAGGGAGATCTGATAAAATGACTAAAATTAGTACCCTGTAATTTCAAATCCAAATTAAGATATCAATCAAAATGGTACTAAACAGAGAATTTATAATAATAATACCATAAGAATTACTTACTGAGTAATAATTAAGTGTCCTGGATTATGCTGAGTGCCTTAAATCTATATCATCAGCCCCGTCCTTTTGACTATTCTATGAAGTAGGAATTATTTTATTCCCATTTCATAGTTGAGGAAACTGAGTTTCAGAAAAATGAAGTCTCTTTTCTAAGGTTACATAACAAGAACAGATTAAGATTCAAATTCAGTTCTATGTGACTGACTCTAGAGTCTATGTGTACTCTATGGATTACAGTCATAGCCTCCCCTCCAAAAATCAGTCTTCATATTGCTGCTTGTTGTTGTTGTTGTTAAGTGCCACTGAGTTGGTTCCAACTCATAGCCACCCTGTCTAGGGTTTCTAAGGAGCAGGTGGTGGGTTTGAACCGCTGACCCTGTGGTTCACAGTTCAGTAATGATCCTACGGCGCCACATCAGGATTCCATAGTGCTACTTGCTGTTGCTGTTAAGTGTTGTCGAGCTGGTTCTGACTCACAGTGACCCTATAGTCTGACTCACAGTTTCCAGTTGAGTGGCTGGTTAAGTTTGAACCGCCAACCTTGCAGTTCAAACAGACTTGCAGTCCAGTGCTTATCCTACAGTGTCACATGAGGACTTGCTGCTAGAGGGGTGTTTTTAATATATGAGAGGGCTTCAAATATTCATGGAAAAATTCCATTATCTTCTAATTTTACTTTTCCACGTATTTTTGAAGCCCCCTGATATAATGCAGACCATGACCTTTCCAAAGGTAGAGTCTCTCTCCTTTACCTTTAGGATTAAGTTCAAACTTCAAATCTCTCGATACAGTTCAAAGCATAGCATTCCAATACAAGGCCCGTCATGACCTGACTTAGCTACTTCTCCACCCTTACTGCTTGGCCCCCCAAAATGAACTTTGACAAGTCCTGTTGGCACTTTCTAATACATCTTAAAGATATTTTATTCATTTGCCTATCAACAACAAGTCGTGGTATAGCACTGTGGGATAAAGCACCGGACTGCAAGGTCAGTTTGAACCACAAGGTCGGCAGTTCAAACTCATCAACTACTCCTTGAAAATCCTATATAGAGTTCCTATAAGTCAGAATCAACTCGACGGCACATAACAACAAAATCAATAACAAGAATCCTGGTGTGATGCAGCAGGATAAGATGGATGGCTAACTGCAAGGTTGGAGGTTCAAACCTACCAGCCTCTCCTTAGAAAAACCCTATACAGGGTCAATGTGAGTTGAGCCAACCTCACGGTATACAACAGCAAAACAAAACAAAACAAAACAACAACAATCATATAACAAGAGTACCAAGAGCTTCTATTACTCTGTGACAGACATCCTCCTAGGTGTATTATGTTATATATGTCATTTCATTTACTAACACTTGTAGAATAGGTATCACTATTCTTATTTTATAAGTGAGGGGGCTAAAGATCATGACCGGAAGCTTTAGAGGTAAGATAAAGTCAGGGCTGACAGAAGACCTTAAATATGTCTGATTTTTGTACTTTAAATGATCATACTAAAGGTACAATACATATTTATTTTAAAGTCTTTTCTTCATCTTCCTTTATTCTGTGAGGACCTACAATGCATAGGTGCGAATGTATAGAGAAGCATTTTAATGTCATAGATTCCCAGTATTTAAAACTATTCAAAACTTGATTACCTACCTGCATGATATCTTGAAGGCTCTCAATAAAAGATATTTCTGCTTCTACCATATAAAACTCTGCCAGGTGTCTCCGGCTCTGAGAATTCTCAGCTCGGAACGTGGGACCAAAGGTAAACACTTGCGTGAAAGCTCTGCAATTCAAGATGAAGAGCATAAAAATAGGATTCACACTATCAACTCCAAGTATTTAAAATATTCAGTGAATTCTGGTGAAGAAAAAACCCCAAACAAACAAATTTTGTGCCTCTGCCTTGTCTACAAAGCCACACATATTAGTTGCTATATTTCTCTAATGGGTGATAATAATAGTTTCATTAAAAATGTTACATTTATAGAAGCCATTTAATCCCAAAGGAATCTGCAAATGCTTTGCAAACCCTATGGTTTACTAAATATAGAGATAAAAACTACTTCTGGATACACTCTACTGCAGTTGCCTTAAACAGCAAGCAACTACATTACACAGTGATCAAGCACAACATGAAAGAAAAATACCATTGCCCAAGAAACCAACAAAGAGCCAGGATGGTAACAGCTAAAGTTAGAATTACACGTGGATGAGGTGTGCTAATTTGTTTCTGAATACATGAAAGAAGAAAAGAAAATCAGATATGTATGGGGATTCACCTTGTTTAAAATCTACCCAAGCCCTTCACAACTATCCAAGCGTTTCAATCAATGGTATGAATGACGTCTGAAATTCACTGAAGGGATAGGGAAAGGTGCTTTGAACTGTCTTACTTTATTCCCTGGTTTTCAAGAAGGATTATGGCTGAACCATCTAAACAGAAAGAAAAATCTTATTATCTTAAGAGCAGAGAAGCAACTTTTGACCCTTTTAGTCTACCTTACCACCACTTGTCTGACAGTTTGTTGTACTGTGCTGGCTGTGATGTTGGAACCTGTGCCACCAGTATTTTAAATACCAGGAGGGTACACCCATGGTGGAGAGGTTTCAGCAGAGCTTCCATATTAAGATAGAATAGGGATAAGGAGAGGCAGACCACTTCTGAATGGTTAGCCACTGAAAATCTTATAAATAGCAGTGGAACACTGTCAGATAGTACCAGAATATTGAATATTGAAATATGATGAATAGCACCAGAATACTGTCAGCTATATATAACATCAGAAGATGAGCCCCTCAGGTTGGAAGGCATTCAAAATATAAATAGGGAAGAGCTGCCTCCTCAACGTAGAGCTGACCATGATGACACCAACGAAGAAAAGCTTTCAAGAACTTCATTTGCTGATGGGACACAGCTCAAAATGCGGAGAAACAGCTGTAAACATCCATTAATAATCAGAACATGTAATGAAAGAAGTATGAATATAGCATAGAAAAACTGGAAGTTGACAAAAAAGTAAAGGAATGCTTAAAGATTTATATTCGAGGCATTAGAGAGCTGAAATGGACTGGTATTGGCCATTTGGAATCTGACAATTGTATGGTTCACTATGATGGGAATGACAAATTCTAAAGGAATGACATCACATTCCTCATTAAAAAGGATATTTCAAGATCTATTTCAAAGTTTAACTCTGTCTGTTATATGATAATACCCATATGCCTACAAGGAAGACCAGTTAATACCATTATTATTCAAATTAATGCACCAACCTCTAAAGCCAGTGATGATGAAAATGAAGAATTCAACCAACTTCTTCAGTCTGAAATTGATCAAACATGTAATAAAAATGTACCAATAATTACTAGAATGTAAAGGTTAGAAACAAAGAGGATCAGTAGTTGGAAAACATGGCCTTCATGATAGAAATGATGCTGGAGGTCGCCTGATTGGATTTTGCAAGACCAATGACTTCTTCATTATAAATAACCTTTTTTTTTTTT